TTAGGGGGGGAGGGGCAGAGGGAGAGAGAGAGAGTCTTAAGTAGGCTCCATGCCCAGCACAGAGCCTGACGTGGGGCTGAATTTCACAACCCTGAAATCATGACCTGAGCTGAAATCAAGAGTCAGATGCTTAACTGACTGAGCCACCCAGGTGCCCCAAGTTGGGTACAATTTAATTGGGCTAAATGAAGTAATATATATGTTCAACAAATAATTTAAAAATTATGTGCCTGAAGAATGGAAAGTGGTTGTTGTAGGTAGATCTATCTTTTAGAAAGCTTGAAGGGTGATCTGTTCCACTTCTGTATCAGAATCCTTGATAGGATCTGCTTGGGAATCTCCATTTTAAGAAGTTTCTCAGGTGATTTTTATGCACTGTAAAGTTTTAGAAGCACTGCTGAACTCTCCACCTACAGCTTTTAGGATATTGGCTTCTGGCTCTTTTGATGGAAACTACTCTTCCTCCATTAGAGGAAGAACAGGGGTAAGCCGAGGTACTGTTCCTGATGACCTGCTATGCCCTATACTGTGAAATTTTCAAAGCTTTCAGTGTCAGCCTTAGTTTCTGCTCTAAGTCCTCTCTCAACTGGAGCTCCTGTGGTGAAGGAACAAGTCATATGATTGGTGATGCACAACCCAGTAGGCTGTGACAGAGGCTTTTTATGTTTCCTAAAATGTCAGTATTTCCTAGCAATATAAGAATTGCAGGTGAAGAAATGTAAGAGAGCTTAAGTGGTCTTCTGGGGCCAGGATTGAAACCAGACTCTTGACACTATACCTGCTACCTTTTTAATGGAAAGAGAATGCTGTGGTTTCAGGTATGCTTGGGTTGGAAACGTGCCTCTATCACTTACTGGCTTTACTAGCAACTCTCATACTTCCCTAAACTTCAGTGTCCCTATCTGAAATGTAGGCTCAATAATTGTTAAATTCTAAGGTTATTGTGAGGATTAATGACCTGATGCACATTTTTAGAGTGCTTCAACATACTTTTAATGGTTCTGATCTTGAGTAGGCATTACGATAAATGATGACTATTATTTAGCAACTTAAGGCAAATATGCCCTATGGAGTTAACCAGTCACAGGCTAAATGAGTTTGTCACATTATGGAATATATGTCTTTCTGTTCTGAGGTGGTATGATAGCTAGAAACGAGGAAGATACAGCATGTGTGTGGGATTTTTTTGGGAGGTGGGAAAGCAATGTAGGCATCTTTTTTTTTTTTTCTACCCATATTCTAATAAATTCTAAATTTGATTCTAGCACAGACTTTTCTTAAAGCTCCAGACTTTTATAGCTCTAGATGTTTACATTGAACTCCCTAGAAGACATCTCCAATGGGTAATCCCATAATATGTCCTATTCTAACTTGGGCTCTTTCTTCCAACAGCTGATCTTCTTCCAGGTTTCTTTCTATCAGTGAATGGAATTGCTATCCAACTTCATCCTCCACAAAATCTAATCTTTCACCAAATTCTTCTGATTGTTTGCCCATAAATCTCTTCTGCCTTCTCTTCACCTTCTTTACCACCATCACTTTAGTCTAAGCTACTGTCATCTCACACCTAACTTCTCCCCTGTACCTTTCTTGCTCCTCTACATAATTCAGCCAAATTTGATAAATTTTCAATGTGAAGTTGATTGTCATGCTGTATTTAAAACCCTATAGTAATTTTCCCTTTTTGACTTCTGCCCCATTTTGTTTCACATATATTCCCTCTCTAGCTGTGACTGGCCTGTCACTTCTCTTTCTTGACTCTGAATGTGCTTTTCCCTTAATGCTTTCGGACCTTAGTACTTGCTGTGCCTAGACTATAACATTTCTCATAGTTTTCAGATCTTAAATAGTCTTTCTTTAGGTCTTTGCTGACCTCTGAGCTAAATCAAGTCTCCTATTACAAAAGCTCACCCCTTCCCATATTTTTTTTTTTAAAGATTTTATTTATTTGAGACAGAGAGAATGAGAGAGAGAGCACATGAGAGGGGCGAGGGTCAGAGGCAGAAGCAGGCTCCCTGCTGAGCAGGGAGCCCAATGCGGGACTCGATCCAGGGACTCCAGGATCATGACCTGAGCCGAAGGCAGTCGCTTAACCAACTGAGCCACCCAGGCGCCCCACTTCCCATATTTTTAATAGCATTTATCTCTGTTTGCAGTTATGTATTTGCATTGTTATTTGATACTCTCTGATTTCCCAAGTAAAATGTAAGTTCTATGAGGGTTGAGAATTTCAGTGTTTACAAAGGCCTAGAACAGTCCTGACAACAGATGAGAAGTAATAAATGACTGACTGAAATACATAACTAGGCAGTTTGATACAAAGTGTTTAATTCTAAAGTGAGGTAAGTGCAGATGGAGTCACAGTGTTGGCATATTAAACATTGGTTTTTTAGGAATACTTTAGTATTGTAGCATTTGTTTAATCGGCTTCTAATTTTAGTTTTTCTATTAAAAATAAAGATAAGTAGTGTTTTGAAATTAGTACAGATTAAGAGCTTCCAGAAGTTTATTGTACTTGAATGCACTTTAGAATAAAAACTTTCTCCTTTCGTCACATCTGCACAGGATTTGAAGTTTGCAATTCAGAAACATATAGCTGATTACATACTTCTGATGCTTACCATATGTAATGTGTTCATATATGTTAGTTGCCTGAGGCATAACAATTTAAAAATACTACTAAAACTTTTACAAAGACAAGAAATCATAGATTTTATAGCAGGTTTCTCAGATTTTATAAAAATTAAAAAGAAATCAAAAAGATTAATATAATATTGGAATTAGGCTTATATTTGCTTTTTGGTATTTGGACCTTAAGTTACTGTATGACTGTTGTTGGCAGATTGAATGGTTATTATGAAAACAAGAAGACTTTAGTATTTTCTTGAAAGTTGGTTTAATACTGTTGTTTACATTTTAAAATTAGTGCTTTCAATAAGATTTTGGTTTCCAACTCTGCTGAATTCTCCCTAGGAGTGCACAACTTCAAAAATAAAGAGGCACAGTCAGCAGAAAAAAGAGGTGGTCTGAGCATTTATGTGTTAAATATGCATGTTAATTAGGAAAAAAATTAGAAAAATATGAAAACAGATGTTACATAAATTATTGCAGTCCCAGGGCAGCAGTAACTTATACACTGACAATAATTTTTATATGTGCATGTGTATATCTATTTCTAGATTCCTCAATATTTATGCAATTCCATAGAGAATAACTAGAAAAAGAACTGGTATATCCTTTCAGTGAGACTATGGTAAACATTTTTTCTGCCTACAGATTGCTGAAGAAGTCTAGTTTCATACAGTCTTACTGTACAGATGAACCCTCTGTGTTATCCAGTTCTGCCTTGTAGTCTTTCTTCTCCTTTTTGGTTTCTCTGATGGTTATGCCAGTGAGATATTTTATTGAATATATTCTGTTGGAGCAAGAAAGTAAATTACGATCCAAGCAGTGTAAGAAATGTAAAATTGACCCGAGTGTAAAGTGTGTATTTAGAAACAAAACAAAGTATAACTTCTCAGGACACTGATTATGTTGTCAGTTTTTCTTTGGTTACTGTTCCACATCATGAGGAAATAGCCATCATTCTCTGAATGATATTGGCATGGTAGTATGACAATATGTATTAACTGTTACATAAACACATTTGTCAAATACACATATCTTGGAATAGTTGAAAGATATTTGAATGTCTTTCATTCTAAAGAGCCGTCCATAGAATAAAAATGGTCTGTATTTTTACAAGGGAAAAATGAGAAATAGAGACTTGCTTTATTTTAGTGGTGTAATAATTTTTAGCTCAACCATACAGAAGAAGCACATGCCTATATTACTGTCCAAGGAGGTGTTGACCGTATTTAGGTGTATTTTGCATGTATATTATATAATTTAAAAATGAGTTGTTCGTAGCTTTTCAGGTAAGACTGAAAGTTAAAATAAGGAAATGCTACATCAGAATGTAATCATTTTCTTTATCAAACAAAACAGGAATTGTATTTGATACAAGAGCACAGAAGTTTCTGTTAATCTGTCTAGAGATCAATGCCTCATTCATTCCTATTCTTTAGAAATCATACCTTGTTATTTGGTTTTAATAGCATATGATGCTAAAATGTGTTTTAAGTAATTTCTTTTGAATCTCACTATGTTTCAGTTATATCTATTATCATAATGTTTTTCAGTTCTGTGTTATTTATGTTTCACATTATATTACCTAATTACTTTTGTACATATGCTGAGCCACTAATAAGTTCAAACAGGTTATAGGGAGTAAACTAATACAGAATGAAATCTAGAGGAAAGTGATGATAATTTATTATGATAGTTTAGTAATTTTTTATATTAAGAGATTCTTAAATTAGATAACTGTTTAAGAAATTCAGTTTTCATTCCTGCAGATTTCATACAGGTTATATCTGTCGGATAGGATTTTTGGAAGAATATTACTAAAGGTGGTATTTTTCTTTTTCTTTATGCAGGAAGGTTATGGAAATTTTAAATGTCACAAATAATATTTACTTGTTACACTGATACATCAGTATTCTAGTTTTACATTTTATTAATGCTATGGAATCCTTTTCAATGGAATTTTTTTCCACATGTTTTCAAATGTTAAATTTCCAATTTTTTTATTTTATGTAATTTCAATACTTGGTATTATTTTACTATATTAGAATAGTGTGTTCATTATTTGAACACTTTTATGTCATTTCAGTGAAATGAAGTTTAACATGTGATTTGTTTTATATTAAGGTGTTTTGATTTAAAATTTTTTTGTATTATAATGCCGTTTATTGTAGGTATAATGAAATGATTTCCTTTATTCCAGTAGTTAAAATTGACGATAGAAAAAGTGATTAGTGAGTAGGCTAACAATTATCCTCTAAAAGCCTAAAATAATACGTCATAAATTTTTTCAGCTTTCCTTTTTCATTGTTTGCTTTGGTTTAAGGTTCCTTCTGGGATAGGGATGTTTGAAGCTATTTTATTTATTTTTTTAGGTATTTGCTTTTTTGCTTAGCAGCTCAGTTGAGGGAAAACTCAGCTGATCTCTATTTCTTCATTCTTCTTTGCTTCCTGTTTGCCAATCAAGACTTGTATTTGGAGAACTGTTTTGTACTGAGTCTGAAGTCATCTTTGACCTGTAACAAGAGCATGCATTTTCAAGTGTCAGTTAGATTTGTGGATCAATAAAGGTCTCCTGAAAGGTAAGCGTATATTTATTCAAAATGTACATTCAAAAATTGAATACCATCAATACCTGTCTTAGTCTGTTTGGGCTACTCTAACAAAAATACCATAGACTTGGTGACTTATAAACAACAGAAATTTATTTCTCATAGTTCTGGTGACTGTAAGTCCAAGATAAAGGTGCCAGTGCTTGATTCATAGACCACCATCTTCTTTATGTGTGTTCACGTGGTAGAAGGAATGAGAAAGTTCTATGGGGTCCTCTTATAAGGGCACTAATCCCACTCATAAGGGCTCCACCATCATGACCTAATCACCTCCTAATGGCCTCACTTGAATACCATTACATTGGGAATTAAGATTTCAGCATATGAGTTTTGGCGGGACAAAAACATTTATCAGTAACAATATCCTTATATGGTAATGTGTTCTGTAGATTCATGTATAAAAAGTGTGTGTGTGAGTGTGAGAGAGAGAGAGAGGGTGTTTATACATACTGCCGTATTTAGATTGTAGGCTTCAGGGAATGATGTTGTTCACTACTAGTTACTCAGAGTTCCCTGATCAGTTTCTTTCAACTTCTTATATCTAGTCACCAGTTTCCAATCTTTTCCTAATTGTTTTCCTTCTCGTTTAACTGAGCCTTGGAGGGGGGGCACTTAAAAATGTTTTCCTGCTGGGAAACTTTCAGCACTTTCCCTATAGAATGCTTTTTGTATCCGTATCTGTCTCTTCCCCCTTTGGCACCTGCCTCCCTTCACTGAATTAAAAGAGTAGCAAAAGTAGAATTATTGAATTTGGAGTTGAAGATAGATACGAGGCATTCACGTATTTTTTTTAACCAAAACCCATTGTAAGAAATAAATTTTACATTTATGAGCCATTTTCCACAGGTATAAGTGTACCAATGAAACTGAAATAAAAGCTGAAATAGTTTTAACCCTAACTGACTGGAATGTGTGCTGTGCTCTATTCCATTCTAATTTTTGATATTTCATTTAATACATGCTCCTTCCTATAACTGAATTTATTTCCCTATCTAATAGTGGATTGCCTTTGCAGTTTTAAAATCCATACTTTAGATCACTTTATATTTGTTCATGACTGACTCAGGAAGTAAATGGAATCAGATAGTTTGTTTTCCATCTCAGTCAAGCTGCCATTTCTCTTGTCTTCTCCATGCTTCTCATCTCTCTCTATATTCACTATAAGCTATCAAATGATGTGGTCAAAGAGCTGAGTAACTACTGGGAAATACCAGAACACTTAACTTGGTTCCTCTATAGTATATGAGAACACAGGTACAAATGGTCAAATCTCAAAATTTGAAAAGGATAAATCTTTGATAGAATCATTCTATTATAGTAAAGTATATATTTCTTTATTCTCCTCTTGCTCGTTCTATGTAAATTATATGTGCAGGATGATGTCCTCAAGCCATTCCTGGTTGAAAACATTTTTAACTTGTTTTAAGTCCTATATACCAGTTAGAATAACTCAGATCCTTTCCCAAAGTGGTCTCTTCTAGTACGCATTCCCATCATATTTAATGTTTTTATCCTTTAAAAAATTGCAAGCATTTTTTTCTGATTATAAAAGTTGTGGTAGAAAGGTTGGTATATATAGAAAAATAAAAAGATGATACAATTTATCCCTAGTCAAATGCAGCAAAAGGAGTTCTAAAAGGGAAGTTCATAATAGTGATAAATGCATACAGTAAGAAAAAAGAAAGAGCTCAAATAAACAACCTAACTGTATACCTAAAGGAACTAGAAAAAAAGAACCAACTAAACACGAAATTAGAAGAAAGGAAACAACAAAGAGCAAAAATAAACGAAATAGTGACTAAAATGACAAGAGAAGAAGATATCAATGAAACTAAGAGCTGTATTTTTCTTTTTTTTTAATTTAAAAAATTTATTCAGAGAGAGTGCACAAGTGCGTGTGAGTGGGGGGAGGTGCAGAAGGAGAGAACCCCCAAACAGACTCCTCACTGAGTGTGGAACCTGACACAGGGCTTGATCCCACTACTCAAGAGATCACCTGAGACGAAACCAAGACTAGGATGCCCAACCAGCTGAGCCACCCAGGCTCTGCAAGAACTATTGTTTTTTTTTCAAAATAAAAACAAAATAGACAAAACTTTAGCTAGGTGTACAAAAACAAGAGGACTCAAAAAAATGAAATTAGAAACTACAGAGGACATTTTACAACTGACACCACAGAAATACAAAGATCATAGGAGACTACCATGAACAATTATACACCAACAAATTAGACAACCCCAGAAGAAATTCCTGGAAACATACAACTTACCAAGACTGAATCATGTGAAATAGAAAATTTGAACAGACCAATCACTAGTAAGGAGATTGAATAAGTAATGGAAAACCTCCCAAGAGCATCTTGGCTCCTTTCACAGTTTGGCTATTGTGAACATTGCTGCTATGAACATTGGGGTGCATGTGCCCTTCATTGTACTATATCTGTATCTTTGGGGTAAATACCTAGTAGTGCAATTGCTGGGTCATATAGGGTACCTCTATTTTTAACATCTTGAGGAACCTCCATACTGTTTTTCGGAGTGGCTGTACCAGCTTCCAGGCATGTGTTGTGATGAGCACTGGGTGTTATGTGCAACTAATGAATCATTAAACACTACATCAAAAACTTATAGTGGCTAATAGAAAGAAAGAAAGAAAGAGAGGAAGGGGAGGGGAGGGGAGACAAGGGGAGATGAGGACAGATGAGGGGAGACGAGGAGAGATAAGACCTCCCAAGAAAGAAAAGTCCAGGACCAGATGGCTTAACAGGTGAATTCTACCAAACATCTAAAGTAGAATTATTGCCAGTCCTTTTCACACTTTTCCAAAAAATAGAAGAGGCAATACAGTTGACCCTTAAACAATATGGGTTTGAACTAGTGTGGATCCAGTTATATGTGGATTTTTTTTTTTAATATAGTACGGTACTATACATATATTTTATCTTCCTTATGAGCTCCTTAATAACATTTTCTTAGTTCATTGTAAGATTATAGTATCTAATACATATAAAATATAAAATATGTCTTAGTTGACTGTTTATGTTATTGGTAATGCTTCTAGTCAGTAGTATGTTATTAGTAGTTAAGTGTTTGGGGGGTCACAAGTTATGCATGGATTTTCACTGAATGAAGTGCCAGTGTCTCTAATCTCCACATTAAGAGTCAACTCTATTTCCAAAGCCATTTTATGAGGCCAGCATTACCCGGACACCAAAACTGGATAAGGATGCTACAAGAGAAGAAAATTATAGGCCAGCATCCCTGATAAAGACAGATGCAAAAATCATCCACAAACTGAACAGAAATGAATTCAACAGTATCTTAAAAGGGTCAAATACCATGATCAAGTGGGATTTGTTCCAGGGAATCAAGGATGGTTCAACATCCACAAGTTAGTCAACGTGATATGCTACTTAATAAAATGAAGGATAAAAATCATATGATAATCTCAACAGATGCAGAAAAAGCATTTGACAAAGTTCAACATTCATTTATGATAAAAACTGACAACAAAATGGGTATAGAAGGAATATACCTCAACATGATAAGGCAATATATGACAAGTCCACAGCTTACATCATGCTGAATGGTGTAAAGCTTAAAGCCTATCTTCTAAGATCAGGAATAAGACAGGAATGCCCAAACTTGCCTTTTTTTTTTTTTTTCCTCCCTTGCCAGGACCTAACTGTTCTTTATGTGGACTATTCATCAGAGTTATTTTTGCAGTGAGCAATTATGACGAAGGAGGTAATGTTCCCTATATACAAAGAGCGAATCTCACCATTTTTATTTGACCTAGTACTGGAAATCATGGTGAGAGCAATCAGGCAAGAAAAAGAAATAAAAGGCATTCACATCAGAAAGGAAGATGTAAAACTGTATTTGCAGAGATATTATCTATAGAAAACCTTAAAGACTTCTGAAAAAAAAAAAACTGTTAGAACTAATAAATGAATTCAGTAAAATTGCAGGATAAAAAATCAATATAAAAAATGTATTGTATAATATAAAAAATGTCTATAAACTAACAATGAAGTATCCAAAAGCACAATTAACAGAACAGCCCCATTTACAATTGCATCAAAAAGAATAAAATGCCTAGGAATAAATCAGTACACTGAAAACTATGACATTGATGAAAGAAATTGAAGAAGGCACAAATAAATGGATAGATACTCTGTGCTCATGGCTTGGAAGAATTAATATGTTAAAATATCCATACCACTCAGAGCTATCTACAGATTCAATTAAATCTCTATCAAAAGTCCACTGGCATTTTTCTTAGAAATCGAACATACAATCCTAAAATTTGTATGGAACCACAAAAGACCCGAAATAGTCAAAACAACCTTGAGAAAGAACAAAGCTGAAGGCATTACACTTCTGAATTTAAAATTATATCACAAAGCTTTAGGAGTCTCAACAGTATGGTATTGGCATAAAAACAGACACATAGATTAATGGGACAGAATAGAGAGCCCAGAAATAAACCCACACATATATAGTCAATTAATTTTTGACAGAGGAGCCAAGAATAGACACTGGGAAAGGATAGTCTCTTTAGTAATGTTGTGAGAAATTGGATCCCTATCTTATACCATATAGAAAAATCAACTTTAAATGGACTAAAGACTTAAAAATCTAGAGGCAAACAAGGGTAAGCTGCTTGAAATTGGTCCTGGTGATAATTATTTGAATTTGACACCAAAAGCAAAGGGAAGAAAAGGAAAAATCAAGTAAGAGTACATTGAGGGGCGCCTGGGTGGCTCAGTCGTTAAGCGTCTGCCTTTGGCTCAGGTCATGATCCTGGGGTCCTGGGATTGAGCTCCACATCGGGCTCCCTGCTCCGTGGGGAGCCTGCTTCTCCCTCTCCCACTCCCCCTGCTTGTGTTCCCTCTCTCACTGTCTCTCTCTCTGTCAAATAAATAAAATCTTAAAAAAAAAAAAAAGAGTACATTGAACTAAAAGGCT